TATATATATATATATTATATGTATATGTGTATTAGGACATGAAAACATAAAACAAAATTTTCCCATAGAGATAACATAAATTAGTATCTTTATATGTCACCATGCATTTCAACTTAAGAGATGTCTAACAACACAGGGTTGAGCATTTTAAGTGGTTTAACCTACTGAACCTCAATGTTTTACCCTTCATTCTAGGTCAAGTCAACACAATGTCTGGCCCCGATTAGGACCATGTTAGAAAAAATGTTTGACAATTCAAGCCAAGTCAACAACATTTTCGATTTCTCAAATTACTATTTAAACTAGAAAAGTCTAATATTGTTATCAAGAATAGAATAAGTTGGATATGAGTTTACCACAACATTAGTAGGCTTCAACTAAGCTTATATGGAATTAACTCATAAAATATCTTCCAAATAATACATAGCCTTCCAACATTCGGTTAGTGATTTTGGGCCTCAACCTTATGCCTTACTTATTAGACATTTCACAAAACAATATGGTTCAACCTTTTTGCCATACTGTTTCAACCAAGAACCTAAAGGAAACAACTTTTAAAACAACTCTCCACTTCAGAAGTCAACTCTCTTAGAAAGATTTTCATCTTTGGATTCTGAAAGAACCAAAACATAATTTCTCACTATGATTTTTCACCACAAATAACAAATTACTCTCTTTTAATTCTAAGATCAACTCACAATATAGAAAACATGCATCATGCATTAGCAACACAAGCAACTTTTCTCTCATACAACACAAAGTATCTCAACTTAACATTATATATATATATATATATACACTCACACATGTATATATTCATACTTCATCATCATCATAAGGAATAAAGAATCAACAACATATAACACCTTCACAACATAATATACTTCAACTTAAAACATGTAAACAACTCAAAACATCAACATCTCTTCAAAAATCAACTCAAAGAACACATCAACAAAAAAAGGTTAGTCTCGCCAAGGAAGCAAAGCCTTATCGAGCGCTCAAACCACTCTAGAGCTTCTCATTAGGTAGGTTGTTTTCTCTCAATGAGAGAAGCTTGTTATGGCTCCCCTCGCTAGGCAAACTTAACCTATTATGGTCATCACGTCGAGCAGCCATAGCTCGTTGAGCAAGTTGAGCCCTTTGTGGTTCTTCTTGCTAGGCGGCCATAGCTCCCTAAGTGAGTAGGACCCTCATGGCTCTTCTTGTCGACTAAGATTTAGCTCGTTTGGCGAACACTTATAATAGTCACCCATAGGTTCATTTTCTCTCTAGACAACACTTACACTGTTATGCGAGAACATGGATTTAGGCAGATAAACATCAACTATGCATGCACATTAAGCGAGCATTTATTTTTGTTGGGTGAGAACACGAAGTTCATCCATGGAACTCATTTTCTTTCGACAAATCCAACCACCAAAAACAATCCTCACTTACATGCAATCCATACGATCCACTATGAACAACTCATACAACATAAGAACTACTACAATTACCACAACCATACAAAGATCAATAAGGATCATGGATATTTAAGTTTTGACTCAACTCATTAAGAAACTCCAACTCATACCAACACAAAATCACCACCAAAATCAACTCAAATTGCTACTAAATCGACTCAAGATTCAACATACTACAACATAAAAGTGTAAATTTACAAGCTTCCCTTACCTCTAAAGCTTCCACACAAGAAGGGTTACAAGGAGATGGAAGAACAACATGATACTTAGGGGTCAACTTCTCTCTAAGATTCCAAGCTCTTACAACACAATCTATGCTTTAAGGGGAGAAAATGAAACTTTAGGTAGAATTAGATTGAAAATTGTACTTTTCTAGCTTTAGAGCCCCTTTCTCTAAAACTTATTTCTAGAAATAAAAAGAAATGAACTTATGAAGTTCATACATTCTTTAAACCTTATATAACTTTTTTCGTTTCTGGTCAACTTTGACCTCAACTCAAACAACTCTAAATTAGGGGTGTAAGCAGGTACAGGTAATCCGTGAACCCGAACTGACCCAAACCAATCTAATGAATTTGTATTGAATTTTTTTAGTGTTTAGGTTAAACCCAACTCAACTTGATCAAACTGGGTACTATACAGGTCGGGTAACAGATTTTGTGTTTTCAACCTGTTACTAACCCGACCCAACCCGATTATATATAATAATAATAATAATAATAATAATAGTGTTTGAATGATCATTTGCTCAGATAATACCTACGGTCACTCTTACTTAGTAACATGTTTTGTGTTTTAGGTTGATAATATTATAATAATATAATATATTTATTTTAATTTTATTTTGTATTAATTAATGTTGATTTTTTGAGTTGATAATAATGTAACAAATTAATAAATTATTTTAGAATTTAATTTGTATCATTGTTTACTTTATAGGTTGGTAACATTGAATTTACAACAATGTATTACATCTATTTTGAAATATTTAAAATTTTATAATAAATAAATAAATAAAATTATGTTGACCTGATTAACCTAATCCAACCTAACCCGTTCGAGATTGGGTTGAGTTGGATTGGATTTTGGCAGATGATAAACACACCTCCACTCTCGTATAGACACACCTCCTTTTTAAAAAAATATATATAAAATGTCTAAATTACCCTTAAAAAAATGAAACTCCTAAATTTACACCTCCTTCTCCATACCCTCTTCCCCGCACCCTCCTTCCCCGCACCCCCACACCCCCCTTCTTCCTTCTTGCTAAAGCCTCTTTCTGCTCACACGAAGTGGAAGAATATGTTTTGCGGGCATGACGAGTGTTGGAGGACCGAAAGGATCGCCGCCATCGATCCTCGGATGTATGTCGTGTCCAGAGTCATTGCCACCTGTACTGCCTCCTCCGAACATATCAAACTCTCGCTCATCCAGGCGCACTTCGGGGAGTTGTAGAATTCGGGGGCTTCTTTAAATTGGCGGCTAATATTATTACTCTTTGCTTTGGCCTCATTGGAGGACGATGTTGAAGCTGCAAGTATGAAGAGGGACAGAATGAGAAACAATATTGCTAAAGTAACAAGAAAAGATTTCACTAAAGTGGCTCTATGGGCGCGAGATCTGAGGCTGCACCATGCCGGGAGCGGGGCCACCGACGCCGCAGACGGGGCCGGCAAGGCTGGGCTGGGCTTGGACGAGGCATCCTAGGTCGAGGAGGACCATACACCGGAACACCACCTCCAGGTGGTGGTGGCATGCCGGGGCGAGGCAGTGGCGGAGCGGGCATCCCGGGACGAGGCGGCGCTGGAGAACCCCTTACTATCTTTAAAGTTATTTAATGACATTGAACGGAAAGAGGCTTTAAGAAGAAGGAAGAAGGGGGGGTGCGGAGAAGGAGGTGTAAATTTAGGAGTTTCATTTTTTTTAAGGATAATTTAGACATTATATATATTTTTTTTTAAAAAGGAGGTGTGTCTATACGAGAGTGGAGGTGTGTTTATCATCTGCCTTGGATTTTTTAAAAAAGTTATACAAATTCAGCCCAACCTAACCCATTAAATTTTAATTGGGTCGGATAACGAAGTTATCCAAACCCGGCCCAACCCAACCTGACTTGCTTACACCCCTCCTCTAAACAATTTACAACACAACATAACAACTTAAAACATCAAACAAAACGTAACATGCATAAATGTAGCACATAAAGTGTTACAATTTCAAATACAAAAGCTAGAAAACACAAAGATGACGATAATGCACCAGAAAAACACGAAACACACCAATACTCAATCCCTAAAGCAAACTATTCAAACACTTATGCATGTATCAATTTTTAAGTAGCTCATAAAATAAACGTAAACTGACATTGATCTCAAATCACAAAAACCCCTCAAAACACTGATACACAATCAAATTAAAGCAAATGATTATAACATTTCTACTATAATCAACAAAAGAGAATTAAGACGTTAAGAACTTGTCGAAAAATACAAAAATAATAGGTAAAATCAACTGTGCAACAAGAAAGGAGACAATAAACATCGAAAGAATTTTCAATTTTAAGGTACTATGAGAAAGAAAACAAGAGAAGAGGAAAAAAAGGGCAAAATCATAAAACAAAAATGTATATATCTATTGTCAATTTAAAAAATAAAAATAAATAAAAAACAAAAATGCTAACTTTTAATCAAGTAATCAAGGACTAAACTATAATACTAAGAAATTTCTTATAACTTAATGAATTGAGCAAATTAGATAAATGTCCTCATATAAATGCTCATAATAGTAACAATTGTAACCTTTTCTTACAATTACCCCCAAAAGAATCGCCAATGTAGTATTAATTCCTTTATTCTTATTTCTCCCTTCAAACAATATGTGAAAATGTAGTGTGTTTTATCTTTTTCCTGTTTTTTCTATTTTCTTTTTTCCTATTATCATTTTTTTTGTCTTTACTATTTTTTATCTATTATTTTTAAAAAGTTAATTCTAAAAAAAAGTAAGAATTTTTCTTTTTTCCCATCTCCCTTTTTTTATTTTATTTTTTAATTAACATAAAAAATATCAATAATTTTTTAAAATTAATTTAATAATTATATTGTTCCTTTTATAATTAATTTTCCTAATAAAGAGGAAGCGAAGATGGACATAGGCATCGGAGTGTGAAGCGAAGAAAGAAGAAGTGTTGGTGTGGAAAATGGTTGCGACGAACGTGAAGGCAGAAACCATGTCTTTGATGGATAAGCGTAGCGCCTTGGAGGCTGAGATGAACGCCATCATCACTCGCCTCTCTCACCCCGCCGCCCCTGGCCTTTCCGGCAACCTAGTCGACGTCGAGGTTTTTCCTTTCTCTCACTTTACTCACACCACTAATTTCAATTCTATTTTTTTCCAAATCTTTCTTGGGGTTATTTTATAAAATTTATGGATAATTTATAAGATTATAATTTTATTATTTTTAATAAGATTATTTCCCTAACAACTCTACAATTAATAGATATTATCTAACCTGGTTGCATCCCAAAACTTTTATCCATTTTTCTAGGGCTTTCCTCGTTCCGATGTCGACATCCCTGTCGTTCGAGCCGAACGACGTCGTCTTGCAGGTTCGCCAATTCGCGCAACCAACTACTTCTACGTGATTTCGATTTCTTCGTTATAATGTTCATTTGCGTCAACGTGGTGGCGTTTTCTTATTTCATATTTTTGCAGAGCTGCGTAATGACCACCAGGTGATAACTGAGAAAATAAACCAAAATATACAAATTCTGCATTCGGCGAGACTTGGAAACAGGTCATCGCCCTTCACAAATTCAGGTACCGCCAAAGAGTTATTTGCCGAAAGTAATGTATGGTTTTTGTTTCAGGGTATAGAATTTAATTATTTAGTTAAAGTGAATGAGGAAATGTGGAAGAGTGAAGTGGGGGTAGGAAGTTTTTGTAAAAAATAACTTATGGGAATGCAATATAGCCACCTTTTCTATAGGAATAAGAAACAAGACAATTGGGGCTTCGGAGGTGTTGATATTGATGAAATTCAACAATTTGGGAGAACCTTTTTCAACACTTGTACCAACATGAGGATGTGATATTTCAAACATGACTTTCTCAGTAATCTTTCTTGATGTCTTGAAACAAACACTACCTTATTTTTTATATTTCAAGGTGTATAGTTTATGATGTACTTTTACCACAGAATTATGATTATGTCAATTGTATTTCTAGGTTTATTTTTTGATGTTATGATTTATGGGTATTACTAGCAGCGCCTTTATTCTTTTTGGATTATGATAAAATGATACTTCTGCTTCTAATATTTTGTTTCAATCATGTATGGTTTGTTCCTTTTGAATATATGTGTCTTTTGGTGTCCCACACCTACTTGCTTAATGCTTAGTCACTAAATGTGAGTAAATTAAAGGTTGGGATTAAAATCTTTAGAGCGTCGTTGTACTCTATCAAGTTGGATGTTGGGTCCTCCCTCTTCCCATCCTGCTCCTTGCTCTGCTCCCAATGCCAATGTGACAGTTTTTTTTTTGGACCATGGGCATTGATAAATTTTCATAGAGCCTATTTGGATACAAGTTTAAAAGAGAACTTCTATATTGGAAAAAGTTCTTTATTTTCAGTAGAGAAGCTCTCAAAAGTTCTTCTAATATTGTATCCAAACAAGCTCATAGTGTATTTCTTTGTCATTAGCTTTTGGGACATAGTCAAAGTAGTTGTGTGAGCCATTTCTTCATCTGTTCATAAGTTGTGACACTTGTATTCCATGTTGAAGTTATTCTAAAATCTAAACCTGCAAAAGTATATTTTTTTTGTTGAACCTGATCAACATAAGTAAAATTTACCTCCAAATGTGACCTGCTGGTCGTGTCATTTATCTGTCTGAAATAGGTTTTGCTTTGCATTGGTAGTTTTTCTTTTCGGACAGAATAATGTATTGAAAAAAGAAATGGTAGAGCAATTTGAGTTGAGTATGGTTTTGTTGCAAACTATCATTTTTGAAGACTTTCAATGCTTTTGTAGACGTCCAACTTGCTGCTGTGAAAACTAAAGATTGTTATTGAATGAGTGCATGTGGTGATTTTATGGAAGAGATTTATAGCATTGATTGATAACCTAGCAATTACAGTTTTATAAGGTGAAAGAGGTTATTTTATAATGGTAGTTTATTTTCAGTTTTTAAAAGTACACAGTTATGATATTATATTTCTTTATTATTATTTATATGTATTAATTTATCTTTTTACTATTTTTTTATTAATATTGGTTCAACCCTGGTTTGATCATGGTTTAACTATTAAACATTGAACCAGTGCTTTGATTGGTCCACTGACCAGTCCAATATTAAAAATATTGATAAATCCTAGTAAACTAAATATAACAATAAAAGAATGGATGCTGTGTAATGGAAAGGCTCATCAATTCCTTAGCAAATCCATAATAGCTCCCTACCTCCCGTTTCTGCTTCTCCCATCAGCAACAAGACTTTGAGATCAGCTCAACTGAAACCCATAGAGAAGCCAAGCAACCATTCTCTATCTAATATGAGCTATGAAGCATGGATGCACCTTCATGCAATAGCATCCTTGTGTCGAAAATAGGTCCAACACTGGCATGGCGCAAACACGGAGCAGACATGTTAAGGAGGAAATCAATTACTGTTACTATTTCCTATTATATATTATGTATTTTAGGAATATCAATCAATTTATTTATTGCATATAATTAGACTTCCTACAAATTAGGAATTAACCACATTTCTTTTTATTAACCACTAATTTATGTTGCTGTAACAATTGAAAAACCTTCCCCAACTACTTCACAAGACTTTCCTCATCCTTGTTGTATATTAGTATATCGTCAAAGAATACCAAAACAAATTTCCTCAAATATGGTTTTAGTACTTCATTCATTAAGGCTTGAAAGGTTGAAGGTGCCCTGGTCTAACCAAAAGGCATGACTAAATACTCGTAATGACCCTCATGTGTTCGAAAAGCTGTTTTGGGTATATCTTCCTTTCTCATTCTAATCTGATGATAGCTTGATTTAAGATCTAACTTGGAAAAAATTATTGCACCTGCCAACTCATCTAACAATTCATCTATTAGTGGAATCAGGAACTTATTAGGAATTGTGATCTTGTTCAATGCTCTATAATCCACACAAACGCTAGCTTCCATCCTTTTTAACCAATATAATAGGGCTAGAATAGGGGCTTACGCTAGGCCTTATGATTCCTGTTTTTAACATGTCAGCTACTAACTTCTCAATTTCATTTTTTTGAGAATGAGGATATCGGTAAGCTCTGATATTGGGAATAACTGCACCTTCCTTCAATACTATTGCATGGTCTTGTCTCCTCTTTGGTGGTAACCCCTGTTCAGCTTGGAATACTGCCTCAAATTCTTCCAAAACTTCTTTTATAGTTGTTGGAATCTCATTGTCTCCTACCTTTTCTGGTTGTAGAAGTAAACACTCCACTATAAAACCTTCATCCCTTTCTTGTAACTCCCTGATAATGTTTTTTGCTGATACTTCACCTTTGCAAAGGGTATGATCACCCTTCAATGTATATTTGATTCCATCTTTCTTAATTCTTAAAGTTAGGTCTTTGAAATTTGTTCTCATCTCACCCATATCTTCCAGCCATTCCATTCCCAAAACTATGTCCTCCCCATCTAAAGCGAACACATAAAAATCTGCCTTGAATAACATGTTCTGCATCTTCATTTGTAGGCCCTTACAAACTCCACTGGTTTTAATCCTTTGTCCTCCTCCATCCTTCACATAGTAAGGTATCGTAGGTTCTACTGGTAGCCTTAAATTTTCTACTAACTTAGCAGATATGAAGTTATGTGTTGCCCCACTATTGACAAGTAGCAACACTTTGTTTTCCAAGATTTCTCCCCACATCATAAATGATTTTTTTTATGTCAATCTAACCATGCTACACTGGGTCAAACTTTTAAATTGACCCTCCCAGACAATCTCTTCCTTCTCCCCGTCACCTTCTTCCCCTATTTCACCATCCTCCACGATCATGATCTTAAACATTTTGTTTTTGCGTAGATGTGTGGGAGAATATTTCTCATTACATGTAAAGGAAAGACCTTTCCTCCTCTTCTCATGATACTCCTCATCAGGCAGTCGCCTTGAACCACTAGGAATTTTACTCCTTTCATCTACAATTGCTCGGTTTTGTATTCCCTCCTTATTTCCTCCATCATTAGATCGGAGCCTACTATTTCCACCAAACACATTTGATCCAAAATTACTGTGACCATCCGTTGGTTGGTTTGTTGTCTGGTTTCCCCCACTACGATTTTGGAATTGGGTTTTGTGTTGGAAATACTCACCTTTCTTATTGCTGATCCCATTCCTTTCATCAATCAGTAAAACAATGTCCATCATCTCCTTCAATGAGGAAGGCTTATGAATCCTTACTTCTGCTCGAATCTCCTCCTTGAGACCATTAGCAAAAATCCCACTTAAGTATTGTGGCTGGATGATCTTTAATGGGCCTGCCAATACCTCAAATTGCCTCTTATATTCCCTCACAGAACCTTCTTGCTTCAACCCTAGCAGAATTTCAAATGAATTTTCCACCATTGTTGGTTGAAATCTTTTCAAGATTGCTTCTTTAAATTCTTCCCACGTAATATTCTCGGTGCAAGATTTCCACCATTATAACCAAGAAAGTGCTTCTCCTTCCATTGCCACCAGAACAATTTCTATTTTTTCAATGTTCATTGATATTTCTCAAGCGAAAATATCTCTCAATTCGACCTATACAGCTTGGTGCATCTTCTCCTTCGAAAAGGGGTAATTCCATCTTCCTAAATTTCTCGGTAATCTCTACACTCATTGAATTGGAACTCTTGTTGCCTTCGTGGTTCAACTCCCTATGCGTGTTTTCTCCGACATTAGCATTAGTACTATTGTTTGTCCCATTTGCCTCTGAATTAGGGTTACCTTCGCGATTACCCAACATCTCACAAATTCTTTGTAACAATCGATCTTCCATTTGTTGCAGTGAAACTTGTGTTCTTCCCTCTGATTCATGAAGTTCCTGCTCCAATGCTTCGATTCTTGCATCCATCTTCTGGCGAACCATGAATTTCGTGGGTGGATTGTTCTGATCTATAGACTTCCTACAAATTAGGAATTAGATTTATTCTATCATAAATAATTGAAAATATCTTTGTACTATTTATTTGGAAGAAGGGAATTAGAAAGGAATCAAAAGCCAACCTTTCTGACCGGACACTGTGAGACATGGTCCAATCATCAGACACTCCAATGTGGAGAAAATCCAACCTCCGACACGGACACGACCAACACTAATTAGATTTGGGATTTTAATTTTTAAAAAATAATCTTGTGAAAAAAAAGAAAGAAGGAAGAGAAATGTTCTCTTTTCTCTCCTTACTTAACCTTCATGTAAGAGAACGAAAACCAGAGACCAGAGATGCACAGTTGCTGTACGAAAACCTGAAACAGAATCAGCAGAACAAAAACTAGAAATGCAAATGTGCTAACGTAGAACAAAAACCATTGACTCGTGGACACAAAATGAAAACCAGAAACGCAAACGTGCAAACACACAATGAAAAGATCTATTATTTCATACATTCTTTGAAAAGTAATAAGATGACACCTCAAAGAGCACAAAATCTAGTATTTGTTCATAGCAATCTCCGCCGTCTTTCTAGAAATTCCCCTCAGTACAAACAAGAGGAAACTAAAATGTGGGACATTGCAGGCCATGAAGTTGGTTCTCTTGATGATGATGAAATAAGTTGCTAATTTGTCTCTTGATGGACTACATTTTTGAAGTTGTGTTTTCAATGATGATGACCAACAATGATGATTTCTCGTAGTATTTCTTTATTTGTGACTTTTAATTATGATGGTTTTTGTTAGATTTTTGTTGTGGACTATGATGCGTTTTAGTAATTTGATTTTAAGACTTAGTAAGTTATCGTCATATCATATCAATATATAATATATTTTTGTCATGCTATTCATATTATATGCCATGTCCAGGTGTCCTATATTTCTTGATTTTGTCATATCCTTGTGTTCATGTGTTTGAATTCATGCTACATAGAATGAGTTGTGAGAAAGAAATCTCTGATGAGAAGTTCTAGCATTATCCTCAAACTATAAGCACATCAACCCTGCAAAACCTGCCCACTTCTAAAGAATCTTAAAATCTTTCTTTCAATCAAAGGTCGGTGTCTAGATGGCAAATATTGTTCCAAAGGGGCATGTCAAAGCCACTGCTCCTCAAGATTCTAAAATCTGATTGCGTGCCACACAGCGCAAGAATAATTGTAAGAAAAGATGATTGTTTGTCAATGTGTTTTGTTTTTAAAGTGACTAATTTTCAGTTTTTTCCAAGTTGTTTTCTTAAGTAGTAAGTATTAACTTTTTTGTTAGCCTTTTTACCTTTCATGTTCTTTAGTTTGATTCAGATTACTCTGTATAAGAATGATTGGTGATATTTTATTACATTGTACTATTAAGTGTTTAACTTTCAGCTAAGATAATGATGATTGTTTCAGATACTCAGACCTCATCAACTATAGACACTGTTGCAGCAACACCATTACAAGATGTCCTTGTGAGACATTCCCCCAACTCAATGGATATGGATGTGTTGGTTAGTAGACCCTTTGCAATGGTAGACGAGATAGCAGATGCATCACCAGCAGTAGAGGATGGTTTACAACTTGGAGATCAAATATTGAAATTTGGCAATGTGGAAGCAGGTGATAATTTGCTCCAAAGGCTTTCTTCTGAGGCTCAGTCAAATCTGGGTTGTGCAGTACCAGTTGTTATCACGAGGCAAGGCACAGTTATCAACTTAACTATTACGCCTAGAACTTGGCAAGGCAGAGGATTACTGGGGTATGCCTAGCTGTCTCTATCATTTTGTTTTTTGTTGTCTAGTGTGCTGTTAGTAAATATTATGCCCGTTTATTTTAGAAAGGAGTTAAACATAACTGAACATAAACTACTGTTGTTCCTTCCTTTTACTTTTTTCTGCCTATGCCAAGCCCAATTCTTTAATAGACCATTTTTCTACTCAGAAATCTTATTTATGCTTATTAAAACGTTGGCATATTTTCAAAACCAGCTTAATTATCACTGGCTATTCAGAGTAATTGGAGAACTTTGAAGTATTAAACTTTTTAATGTTAATAGGTTATTATTTCTTTCCAGTTCTTCTAGATATATCTTTCTTTTTTCTTGACTTCTTTTTTGCCTTGAACCATCCTACCTGTTTCTCTAACACAGTCATCTTGAGCTGTTTCACTTTGAGGCATACCTAATATTCTTTATTCCTATCATTTTTATTTTTTGGTTACAAATGAATATTCCTGACGGTATGTGGGCTGATATTCAGCTTTTGTACTGCTGGATGCTGGTGAGCTTGTCCTCAATCATGAAACCACTTTATATTGGCTATAACACTATTTTACTAAATATCATTGATGATTACACCAGAGGGGAAATGTTAATTTATGAAAAATTGTTTGGTCTCAGTTTAAGTTGTTGGTTGTGTACAATTACGTTAAACGGCTAAATGTTGTTGAGAATAAATGTTCCAACTGAGTTATGATCATAGTCAACAGATCATTTAGATGAACTATTCTGTCTTTTACCTACAGGATTAGTTTATTTGTACAAATAATAATTTTTTTAAAGCTTCCCGAGACAACTAATGACATATTAAAATTAGATTGTTATCCAATATGCAAAGTAGTTGAGTTTAATGCTAATATATTTTTTTTCTGTTGCTGGCAGATGTCATTTTCGGATCTTATAGGTGCCATTATGTATTCTTGTCAAGATGGTGCTGACGGTTGTTTCTCTTGATGCATTTCCCATCCGTAGTTCTTTACCTGATATTCATCTATGCAAAGATTAGGAACATGTTGAGTTGAACTCAGAAGTTGAAAAAAAAAATTACATTTACAAGTACTTTATTTTTAGTTTTTGCATTAGAATGCTTGTTTTTAATACGGTTTTAAATCGGAATCCAAACATACAATATATTGTTTCACACTGACTTAATAATTACTGACCTTTGACTGTGGTGCACTCTGAGTTAATAATGCGTTCTCTTTATTCTGATTATCTTTTCTTTTTACCGCAAAGTAATTTTTGATATCATAATGGTTAATATAAAATCAAGATTTCTTGCATTTGAACCGCTGCATTCATACGCTTTTGCAGCTATCTCGAGACACAATAATAGAGTAAAAGTATCGTTTTAGTCCTGACTTTGTAAGACGTCGTAGTAGTTTCTCTAAAATACGGAGAAGTGAAAAATTAATCTTCAACTATGTTTTCTATCACTTAGTTTGGTCCCTGCCGTCTAAAAAAATATTGTAATTTTAGTTCTTAATATATATTATCTTTCCGTTTTAATTATAAGTAATATGTGATAAGTCATCAACATATTACTTTTAATTAACTTTATCATAAATTTAAGTTTTATTTAAAATATGTATTTTACTTTAAGTAATTGTTATATTTAATGTTAGTGATAAGTGTATGTATAAGAAGTATAGTTAATAATAAATGAAAGGTTAAAAAAGTTTAATCCTAAGTAATTTATAAAAATTAATATCAAAGGTAGTATAATTTAAAGTCATTTGTCTCTAAATAATATAGAAAAATTGTGGTGGTTGAAACTTCTAGATTTCTTAAAGTAAGTTAAAATAACTTACCATTAAGTCAAATTGTTCATTTATTTATTTATTTATGTATTTTTGTAAGGAGGTATAACTCTTTTATACTTAGTTGGTCCTTATAAAAGTAAATTATTATTTAGTCACGATTGTTTAAGACAGAAATTAAATCCAAGTTTTTAGTTAAAAAATACAAGTGTCTAATTATTCGAGTTAAAGATTTTTGTCACTTTGTTCATATAATAAATAATTTACAAATTTTATTTATATATCATATCTTGCATATAATTTTTATATCTTAATTATTTACAATATCTGCAAAACATGTTTGTGTTAGATGCTAAATATATTCTTTGTATGCATTAATACATCTTTCACATATATTCTTACTCCTTTTGTTACGTTGTTTTTCTTGTTTGAGCTAAACATTATTTTCAACTGCTTTGAACTCGAGGGAGACAAAATTTAGGCTTCGACTTTTAGTTTTGATGGGACTCTCTAAATAGTGGGACATGTTTAGAAGGCTAGTTTATTTCAAATTTAGAGTAGTCCTATATATTGGGGTACAACCTTTTAGCTAATATAAAAACAATATGTATTACTGTATGTTCCACCTGAAATTATTAGTTAAAAAAAATAGTATAAGAAACACATTAATGTACAAGAATTATTGATTGATGCACCGTTTAGAGAATTGTGTTTAAAACATATTTAAATTTAAATTCAAGTATATATAAATTATAATTACATGTGTGAAAATGAAAATGTCGTGCGAAATCACAAGTATATTGATAGTTTTAATAAAATTATGTGTCTGTTCTTTTATAAAACATATTTTGATATTTTAATACTTTTATTGCAGGGCTCTAATTTATTGTTTTGTATAAGGCTAATAAAATGTTAAGATTGTTCCTAATATGCAATTACATTAAATGCATAAGCTAGCTCATGCACTAAGTTCAAACTTAATCAAAATAATTTTTGAATATTTTTTTTAACATTACATTTTATACTAAGTATAATTTTTTTTATAAATATTTCTTTTCAAATTTTTTTATGAATATATTGATTTATTTTTCATAATTTTGAAAACATTTTAAATTTTTTATTTTGAACATTATTTTTAATACAAAGTACAATTTTTTTTATATACTTAGTGTTTCAAATTTTTTTATATAGTTATATTTTACTAATTAGAATAATTTATAAATGAAAATAAAAAGAAATTTAAGATAAATATTTACACAATTACTATTTAAACTTATTTAATTTTCATTTAATTATTGACATTTCCACAATAGTTAAAAAAAACAAAACATTTTAAACATCCATTTGGTATAGTATGTGTTCTTACTGGAAATCTACTGTAGAGCTGATCCGCCAGGTAAGATCGGTGAGCCTCATTCGCTGGTACGCTTGATGCTCCAAGATGGGGGTGGTACCTGCAAAAGAGACTCCGATGCTAAAGTTAGTGTTTGTGGGAGTATGAATCTCGTATAAATAATGCACGTACTTTAGTGTGAATTAGGGTTGCTTTGGGCCTTGGGCCTGAGATAAGATATGATAAGATTAGATAGTGGATCTCGTCTGAAGCGAGATCCCTCGAGATCAGTTATGATCTGCTTAAATGCCGAGCTGACGTCGCATAGCGCGTGCCCGACCTCATCTTGTGTTGTGATGCCGAGCTCGGAGCTCGGCTTCGCGGTACGGGCAGTACATTAGCCCCCCGAGCTCCGAAGACCGTAGGTCGAGGAGTTAAGACCGAGCTCGCTGGGGGGAAGTGACCTTTCGCGTACTTCTGCCTGTTGAGATGCCATGTGTCGTAACCGTTCATTTTCCGAAAACGTGCAAGTGGTGCGTTAAGGGAAATGACAGTTGTGCAATGATGGTCTTGCAATTAATGTGTTGTCAGCGTGCCCTTAGGTTGACGCGTGGCATGGCCGTTTTGAATTTTGGGGGAAAACTTTCTTTTGTCTCAATCGCGCCTCTTCACCCCTCACTTTACTCACTTTTCACTCTTTCAGCTTCTTGCGCACGCTGTTTCTCTCGCTTTTCTGCTCATCTTCCGTCTCCACTTTCTCCGTTTCCGCTGTCGTTTCCGGTAACCTAGTCGTTGTTAGGGTTGTTTTTTGAGGGAGAGTACCAGGTACTTCCTTTCTACAGTCTTCTTTTTCCTTCTTCCCCAATCTTCTTCAAGTCCTTCATGCTTTTTCCATGGCTGGGGGGAGTAGTGCCGGTTCTTCTGCGCCTTCTCGGGGCAAGGCGCGTGGTAAGGCGATGGCTACCAGGAGAGCCGCTGCCGAGAAGAGGGATCCACCTCCGCCCCGGGGCCCGGAACCAGGCATCCCTGGCTACGACTGGGTCAACTATGACTGGGTCAAGTGCGAGGTGGGGGGCGTCCAAAGTGTCTTCCGGACCTTTCTTGAGGTCAATAGGGTCGTAAGGTCGTGCAGGGTTTGCGACCCTTCTATCTCCCGAATGATCCGGCTTGAACCTTGTCAGGCTGGTGAGGGTGTGTACATGGGGAAGTCTACCGATTCTCCCCATTTCTATATGTACTATTGTTTCTTTAGGGATTTAGGCGTCTGTCTTCCTTTCACTCAGTTTGAGTGTGATTTTTTGAACCATGTCAACGCGGCTCCTTGCCAGTTGCACCCTAATAGTTGGGGTTTCTTGAGGGCTTTTCAAGTCCTGTGTATAGTTTTGGGGATAGAGGTATCCCTTCTCGTCTTTCTTCATTTTTATCAGTTGAAGGTGGGCGTTCCGCCATACGGCATATTGTCTCTAAGTGGGAGTAGGGATGGGGATTTGTTTACTCTATACTCCCAGTCGTACAAAAATTTTAAACAAGAGTTTTTCCGAGTCGCTCTTGTGAACGTTGGCCCCTTGGAAGATGGGGCGTTTTATTTCGGGGGGCTGCCAAGATTTCCCTTCTATTAGTGTCCCCGACCTTCTAGGTTTCACGAGGTGGGCCAATTGAAGCTGACTGCTTCGGAGGCGGCTGCCATCGAGAATCTCGCCGCGCTTCCTCGTCCGCTGGATTGCAAGCTCGTTCTGTCGCTTGCGAACTCGGCGTTCAGGGAGAGGGGTTTGGAGAGTGAGTATTTGGTTTTTTGGTGGTTTGGGGTTTGTGTAAATTCCACTTGCTGATGTGTTTTATCTCGTGAATGCAGGCATCATGGGGAAAAACTTGTGGCGTGAGCTGAAGCACCGCTACAATGTTACCGAGCTCGAGGTCCCCGAGTCTCGAGAGGAAGATGCCTCCCCTCTGAAGGTTAATCG